AAGAAGTCTGTGCGATTTTTCAAAAATGAAAGCAAACATAGCGATACAAACTATGTTTTAAATGAATGATCCGCCAGCAAATATAATATATCTTCAACATGGCATGTTTAAACTTTTAACCATGTATTATCGCAGTGTGAAAAGCTTCTTTCTAGTATTATTGTAATGGCAACATATATTCGGTCGTATTTAGACTTTACACTCTTCCAGTCCTTGTGCCCATCCGTAAAAAACCTTAATACGCCCAAGAAAAAACTCTACTTAGTTATCTATCAAAAAAAATTCTCATTTTCTTACGAAATATTTGAATTAGCAACCATCGTCGTTATCGGTTTCACGCACAAGTACTGGGGCGATATAAAAACTTATGTTGCGTCTTACGAATCCGGCATCGTGTGAACAGAGTGCATTTTTCGTATCGGATTGCTCAGCGAATCCGGTACAAGACGAATCCGGTATCGTGTGAGCAGGGCCTCAATGCAATGGTTAATCTATCCTATTACGATGTCTGCTCTCTGGAAAACTTTCGGCTTATCAGTGTTGTCGCTACTCGTGGTCTAATTATTTTATTATTATGCTAATTACCTCAAGGATTAAGTTTTGTCTGCATTTTTTAATTGTTTGATTAAGGCTTCTTTTAATCATATTTCCATCAAAATTCTTTCTCCACACGAATGATGAAAAATTTCTGCTTGCTTGTTTTCATAGTATAATGACAAGTTAAAAATTGCAGAGATAATAATTGTTAAGACTCATAGCTATAATTTTTAAGACAGTTATGATACATAATGTTTTTTCCAAACCAAAACTGACAATGACCTTGCACGTTATTTCACAATTTTAATTGGCGGTGTTTAAAATACATTAGGCCTGCAGACATACAAGTTAATTTACTGTTTTAATACTTTAATGCCTTCATTCAATCTGAAACGCACGCATGCCAAAGAAAAAATCGATCCATTGGAAAATTACTGCTAACAAAAGAGCCTATGTCAATAATGTGCATGTAAAAGCACTCACAAAGTCTCAGGCAAGTAAACGGCGAAGGCATCAGCAAAGAAAAACAACAGCTAGAATGGCTACACAAAACACCATTAGACCGATTTTAAGTAAGTTGAATTGGAATACAATTTAAATGTTACATATGACTTTAGAAAATTTAAGTTGTGATTTTGTTCATTGTTTTAGGCCAGTGTGAACACTGCCACCTATGTGTGATCTGTCTACCGAGCTGTGGGCATAAAGTACATCTATCTTTGGTTTGAAGAGAGGCTAGTAGAATGCTTGCCATTCAAATGTCGGATATGCTTTAAAGTCAAATAATTAATATGCTTGCTGAATGTTGCAGTCGTGTTTTTTTTATGTAATGTCCATTGCTTTATACTCTAGATGTTTTGACGAAGATGTTGATCGCTTCTTAGAAGATTTTTTTGAGTATGAATTTTTATAATTCTTTATCTTTTGAAAAGTGATACAGTAGAGCAGTCAGTAAGATTGATTTCTTTTTATTTCAGAGTGATCGTTGCTAGTTTCTTTCAATAAAATGTTTATTTCAATAAAATTTATTTAAGAATATCAACGTCTCATGTTCTAATTTGTTCTTTTTTTCTGTCAAAAATATTTTTCTCCAATCATTACAAGTGTACTTGATAAGTTCTAGCCCATTTACTATCGGAGTCATGTCTATGTAAATGTAAATTCAAATATGACTGCATATACTACCTTGTCGGTATAAGTCATAAGCCGGCTTTGCCCAAAACTGAACTTGTTCATCAACTCATGCAAATTGCACTACGTAAATATTTATCCAACATATCGTTGCATTTTACTACTCGTTGCTATATTGTAGATGGATTGCATGTACGTCATGGCCGCCGTGTTGATAGTCATATACAAAGTACATTTTTTTAATCCTATTTTGACACCAGCCGTTGTTTGCGAGCCAAATTTTTTGATAATTATTTGGAGTTTCGTTACAATCCTAGAATTTAACTAGGTGGAACTGTGCGCTAAAATATATGGCAAACAAAGAATTTTGTTCTTCTGAACACAGGAGCTTCACATATATATCAGAAGAATAAAACAAAATACAGTGCAACCGAAACTAAGAAAGTGAAACATGAGTGCACGATTTCTTAATTTATAAGTTGTATACTGCATAGTAATGATAATAGAATGTAATACATAAATAACGAATGTATGATTGTGGCGTGACAAATGTCCTTATTATTTATCTGCCACGTAAGTGCGCATATGAAATTAACTTTGTTTACACAATCTTGAGGCAAGTTGTGTAGCTATTGGTCCAAAAGCAAACTGCTTAGCCTTTGATAAGCACTTCTCGAAATGACTTGCAGTTCAGCATTTTTTTGAACGCCGAGGTTCGATACTAAGCAATCTTGAAACTAATTTTATTCGCCATAATTAGGAACACTTTCAAAGAAATTTTGCAGTATCCCTGGACCCCTACTTTTTATTGGGGTAGGCTAGCAAAGGTCAATAATAAGAGCAGCTAAGGAAGTCCGAATTTTAGCATCGTCATGAAATCGTTCGAGAGAAATTACTTTATACAAATTTACAGAAATAATGCAGCAACTCGTGGAAATAGAATGCAACCTTTCATATTTTTTACCATATGACGGTGTTCCTTTATTTGCAATTAAGATCAGTAAATATTTCGAAATTGCACTTTCTATTTTCAATGCGTTTAAAGAACTTGTTTGTGGTCTCTATTAGCGAAATTTTGTCTGTTCTGTAAAATGGAGGAGGGCGACGCTATTAAACCGCTTTCGGGTCATAGTTGACTTTTAGCAAGTCTTAAATCTTCTGGCCATGGAAAACACTCTCTCTCAAGTTGCACTTGTTACGAGGTTAACATTTATCAGTACACAAAGGATTACTCTCAGAAATTAGTTTGCGTAGCAATGTCTCTTATAAAAGAACACTTTCAAGATTCATGTCTGAATTAAAACTTGGTTTTTGAAATCGTAATTTTATGCTAGCTATAATCATGTCAAATACCTCGAAGTAAATTTGTCTGTACATGTCATCCGAATTCTCAGGGAAACGGTGTTCGGCTGGAACCAGTTTCAAACATTGCTGGTATTTTTCGTCTTCTTGATGTCACGGGAGAGCTAAGATCTGGATGTTTTTTCCTAGGACTGCCTCTTATAATGCCGTAAAGACTCGTAGGTTCTCATCTTGTCCAGAACCTAAACTGTTAGACCAGCATGATGTTTTGAATTAGATGCGGATAGAGATGTTGACTGCAATGCTAATAGCAAATGATCAGAATCAGCAAAAAGTCTTTGCCCAAGTGGAGACCAAAAAAGAAATGAAATGTTTTCAATTTGGCTTGAGCACCTTTAATACGTCCTTGTACATCTTGGACCATGCGATTTGTCTCAAGAGACAAGACATTTTCGTCAAAGCTTCAAACGAGCAACATAATTATCTAAAATGCTTTACAACAGTCTGCTCTCACAGTCCATCTTGTTGTACTAAACTTTGTTAAACATTTTATTAAACATTTTTTTAAACCCCAAAATGTCTTTGTCTGCTTCCATGTCATCCATGTATACTCATCGAAGGCAGATAGTAAGATTTTCTTCGTTTGATATATTGCAATACTCATCTGCAGTTATGGAGTAATAACCACGCATTCTGTGAGTTGCTAAGCCGCGCTGCAGTTGCAGCACCATAATAGATATCAGCTCATTTTGAATGTCATACCTAAGGTCGCCTTTTTTATCCACATCCTTTTCCCTTGACTAAGGCAGGTTATCAAATATCAGAATAATCTGATCAGAATATCACTTCAGCAGAAATTCTTTGTCGACAGGAAAATTGCAAGCTTTCAATAATCTTTAGCAGTCACTTACGATTTGATTGTAATACGGTTTTATTGTCCGTTTTTTTAATTTCAACAACATTTCCACATATTTTAAAATATAATTTGCCCAAAAATTGACTACAGTTTTGTGGCACTGAGAAATCTCGTAATCCTTGAACCTCTTGGTTGCTTTTTTTTTCAATTAGAAAAAACCTGCGTCATAGACGTCATCTCTTTTTTGACAGCTGTTCTCAAACTACCCTTAGCATATTCACTTGAGCAAGTAAAACATCTGACACAGTCTTTTAGCTCGTCATAATGAAGCCATTATAATTTTTGCACCAGGATGGATAAAAAGAGCGATTCTGTGATCCAAATCTACGTTGAGGAAACTTGAATTTTTTTGGTTAATAGGCTAATTGGCTATACAATCCTTTTAGATTTCACTTATTAAGGACTTTGCAATTTTGCGAGACACTCTACGTTAGTAAATTCACTATAAATATAAAGAGAACAAGAAATATAAAATGCAGGACATTTGATTTCTTGAGTAATTTTCATTGTCAAAACATGACTTTCAAAACATGGGAAATATTCCCATGAAACAATTTAATAATAATAAGCAAGTTTCTTATCCTTCCATTTTACAGAAAGAAAAGACTAATTAAAATAAGAACGTAGTCCATTTGTAGGAGACGAAATTCCTTTGATAATGTTAATACAGAAACAGTGGAAAATCTAGTTTGTCACCATGGACACTTTTTTCTGTTATTGTATCTTTTTTTGTGCAAACTAGATGATTGTTTTGAAGCGTTTTAATTTGTGTCTAACACTTCAAAGAGGAATGTCACTATAACTAAGAATGAAATACTCCTATGATAAAAAGATTGCTTCATGGTTGGTTTGTTTTTTATAATTTTTGACATCCACTTGTTTGGAAGTACACTCGTGAGAAGTGCACTCATTCACTGCGCTCATTAGTTTGTTTTCAATACTTCTCAACCCGTGAATAAAAATCGTACTAACTCACTAACAATGAAGTAATCTATTATTTTTGCATGTGCCAGCATATAGTATTTTGGCACAAAGGAGAAAAATCTCTTAACACTTGCATTTACCTCAATACAATAATTTTGCTTTGATTCTAATGAACTTTGTTTATTTTAAGATGAATGGAATATCAATTTGGAAGTTTCTAAAACACGACCAAAAAAAGTCAGCAAAGGATACCTGTTTATATATGGAGATTCTGTTTCTATGCGATTTTGGCGTTCTATTAAACGAAAAGATATGTGTAGGTTTTCATTCAAAGCTTGCAAATTTTTTTACCAATGGATATATCCTATTGAAAACACTGAGTTTTTAAAAATGGATGATTACGACTTTCGTCCCAAGATTGTCATATATTACATAAAAAAGGCTCTAGGAAGTGAACTAATAAAAGGAAAGGAAAACGTGTTTATGTTAAACTTTGGACTTCATTACGTACGAAGTGTTAATTTTACGACATTTAAAAAGCTTGTTGATGATGTAATAGTTGTGTTGCAGAACCGTACAAAAGAGTTCAAAACCAATGTAACATTTGTTTGGAAGACTACAACAGCAATCCGTCAAGGACGTGGACACAACACTGCCTGGAGGTTTTACACACAACAGGTAAAACTTTAGAGTCTCATAATATTTCTCTCAATTAAAAAAGTGTTTACATACAAAAAATATTACCATAAATAGATAGATTTTAAAAAATTAATTGTTGCAGCTACAACGTGTACTGTTTTTTATGCCATGAAAAGTAAATACTGCGAAATGTTTATTTTCTTCTAATTTCAAATAGAAACACCCTCGTTTATAAGGAAGACTATTAAAACGAACTAGCTTAGTGATTATAAAAATAACAAAATTCAGAAAACTATACAAGCATCACTTTTTATGCCATGCTTGAGACGGTGCTTGAATCTTGTCTATTTCTGTATCAATACGCGTTTTTTCCAGTCTAGTAGCGAGTATTATGCATATAATAAATATATATAGTATGATAGTTTCTACCAATGTCAGTAGTTTCTGTATAAATATTCCAATGAAATATTGTTTGGAACAAACGATGACTTTATTTACAAAAGAAATAGAGTGCTTAAACGAAAAAATTAATGTTTGAGATTACAGTCAGTTTTGTTTATGCATGTGGAGTGCTTCGTCGAGAAAGCAGTATCGGCAGTGCCAATAATTTGAAAATAAGAGGATAATTACGGAATAAAGGTTATGTTAAAAGGGTGTCGATAAACACGTGAGTTTTTGTCAGTTTTGGTGTTGTTTTCCGTTCGCGTGAATTACATCATCGTTCGCACGATCGAATAAGTATACCACTATAGATTTAACAGAATGTGGAGTAGGATCTTTTGATGAAAGGTAATTTTCTATTTTGAATGAAGTAAAAATTAGTAGAATGTTAATGTCATTGCAGAAATGTTCGATAATGTTTGTAAGTCTGTGTTGTGTGTGTCGCGAATGATGTTTGTAATTTTTTGTGATGGTCGTTAAATGGGATGTTTTTATTTTAGCTTTGAACTTGATATTATTGTTGTCATGGAGATATCGTTTGACTGTTTTATTGATAAAGTAAAACTGGAACGAGATGTTTAATAAAATAAGGTGATGTCTCTTATCCTACTAAAAGCCGTTGAAGCAACGAGTCGAAAGCTCAATAAAAATCATTTAAAATCCGGAGAAACTTTTATCTTTTATGTATATATAAGTATATATACAAAGTCTGTATACAATGTGCCCTCCCGGCTATCGCCATAGTAAAATGGTGACTCCTGCACTTGAGACACACGATTCTTATTATATACATATATGTAGTGATATGTTTCCTGATATGTAGGGTAATGTGTCGGGATTTTTTTCAACATCACTACATACATTTACCCTCCGTTCTCCGGCATCGAGCAATGTTTTTCATGGCGAATCATCACATTAAAATTTCCTATAAATAAATATATATATATGATAATATTAAGGATTCTCTGGATTTTTTATTTTGAAATTTTTTTCATTAAGCTTTCAACTCGGTGCTCCGAGCCTTCTTCAGAATGTAAGAATATATTATTTACAAAGATTTTGTAGGCGTCTATAGCGTCTGATTGGTTGGTTAGTAGTTGAATGGATATTATTGGATGATATAAGATTCGTTGTCATGGTTTATGGTGTATGGATGGCGTTAGTGAAATTCGAGTGTTTTATTTTAGTCGTTATGTTATTAGTTTGTTGTTTTGGTGTTGTCTTTAGTTGTGAATAGATGATGGGGATGTCAATATGTCTGTGTATTGTGTTGTTGTCTTTGCTGTACCATGCCTCTTTGAATTCTCGTGCGTGTTTTGCCTGTGCGCGTCCAAGAAGTTGTGTTTTAGTCCAGTCAAATTTGTGGTTGGTATCGTAGGTATGTTCTGCTGGTAGTTATTTTCGCTCGCGTCGTTTGATGGCATTCTTGAGTTCAGTGAGTCATGTTTCAATTTTCTTGGATGATTGTCCTATGTACTGTTGGGGGCGATCTTTACATGGTATCATGTAGATCGCATTGGTTGTGTCAAATGTCGTTGTTCGGTCTTTATGTTTAGTGAAGTATGATTTGAGTTTGTGTGTTGGTTTATGTGCGATGTTTATTTTGAGTGGTCGGAGTAGTCTTCATGTCTGTTCTGATGTTCAGTTTATATATGGTAATGTCACTATTTTTACTGGTTCTTCTTTTCTTCGTTAGGTTTTTCAGTTTGTAGTTTGTTGTGTGTTTTGTTTATTTCGTGGGTAATTGTTGTTTATGAATGTAGAGTATAAGTAGTTGCGTTCATTCTTCTTGGCTTCTTCTGTAATGCAGTGTGTTTTAATCCTGTTAAAGAGAGTTCGTATTCAACTAATTTTGTGTTGCGTTGGGTGATTTCTATTAAAGTTGAGTATTTGGTCTGTGTGTGTATTTTTGCGGAATACTTGTGTGTTTAATGTGCCGTCATGTGATCTGGTAAGTAGAATATCTAGGAAGGTAAGTTGTTTGTTCTGTTCTTTGTCCATGGTGAAGGTTATGTTCTGGGTGGTGTTGTTTATTGTGTGTAGAATGAGTTCTGTTTTGTCTTTTTTCGACGATAGCAAAGATGTCGTCAACAAATCTTCTCCATAGTGTGATGTGCGTGTTGTTGGTGACTGACTGCTTTTCAAGGTGTTGCATAACAGCAGAAAATACCTACGATACCAATCACACATTTGACTGGAGAAAAACACAACTTTTTGGACGCGCACGGACAAAACACGCACGAGAATTCAAAGAGGCATGGTACAGCAAAGACAACAACACAATAAACAGACATATTGACATCCCCATCATCTATTCACAACTAAAGACAAAACCAAAACAACAAACTAATAACATAACGACTAAAATAAAACACTCGAATTTCATTAACGCAATCAATACTGTTACGAACGTACCGACTAATAATAAAATGGCCGCTTTTGGTTCAATTGCTCGTAACAAAAGAAGTAAAACCTTATGGAGAAGTTGTTGTCAATTCTTAAGATATTTATTTAATATACTAATGATTTTGATATAAACGTTATACTATAAATGTATAAATGTTCAAAGTTATCTAAGACAACTGCTTTCAGACTTTCAGTGACTCTTTCGTTGATGGATAGGATATAAATCTGGATTCTTTGGTTATCTTCGTAAATAGTTCGTTTTCTTTTACATGAGGCTTTCTTCTGATGTGGACTTCTACTAAGCACCAACATAACTACAACTTTCGATTGTCGGCTTATATGTGATTGCACAATGACGTACAATTAACCGCTTGTGCGTAAACTGTGGTCAGTTGATTAACCATGTATCCTGTACGTTGTTTGTGATTAGTAGGTTGACCACGTCCTACACGTAAGCTTTTCCGGTTATTGTGGTTAACATAAACATGCATGTATGAGTGAGGCATTTTACAAAGAGCACTAAAAATATATTTAAGTATATAACAATAATAAGTATAATTTACATGATTATGTATTATCATGTAACACCCTTCCCCTTAAAAAAAAGAAAGATTGTAAAGCTTTCTTTAAGATAACAATGTTCTAAGGTCCTGAGAGACAGTCGGCGATGAGGTTGTCTCTACCTTTAATGTGTTTGATAACAAGGTTAAATTCGGATAATAATAGACTTCAACGGAGCAAACGATGATTCTTGTTCTTCATTTTACTGATGAAAACGAGAGGGTTGTGATCGCTAAGAACTTCGAGAGGATTTCCACATGAAGAAACATAGACATAAAGGGGTTATAGGGCCAAGACATTCAGGCCTAAACATTCCTTTTCAATAGTGGAGTAATTTTGTTGATGAGTATTAAATTTTCTTGAAAAATAACATATCGTGTGATCGACACCATTCTTGTCTTCCTGTAACAAAACTGCTCCTGCTGCAACATCACTTGCATCGACAGCAAGTTTGAAGGGGCGTTGAAAATCTGGAGCGGACAAAACCGGGGAATGTTGTAATAGGGCTTTTAGCTGGTCAAAAGCGTTCTGGCATGAGGTTGTCCGAGTAAAATTGATATTTTTCCGTAGCAAATTGGTCAACGGCTCGGTTATTGTTGAAAAGTTTGGGCAAAATTTTCTATAATATCCAGCCATACCGAGAAAACGCATTAAGTGTTTCTTTGAAGTAGGCTGAGGAAATTTGGAGATCGCTTCGACCTTAGAATTTACTGGTTTTACTTGACCTTGTCCGACTACATGTCCAAGATATGTCACGTGACCACATCCAAATTCGCTTTTCGCAAGATTGATGGTGAGACGAGCCTCGCATAACCTTCGAAAAAACTGCTGTATTATTTTCAGATGTTCTTCCCATGTATCACTATAGATAATAACATCATCGATATACGCTTCACATCCTTTGATGTCCATTTTTATGTGATTAATCAAACGTTGGAATGTTGCTGGAGAGTTTTTCATACCAAATGGCATAACTTTATACTGAAAAACTCCCTTGGGTGTAACGAATGCAGATATTTCTTTTGCTCTGTCGCTCAATGGTATCTGCCAAAATCCTTTTACAAGATCGAATTTGGAGACAAACTTTGCATTACCAATTTTGTCAACACAATCATCCATACGTGGAAAGGAAAAGGTGTCGGTTTTATAACAGTGTTTACTTTTCTATAATCCGTGCACATTCTATAAGTTCCATCAGGTTTGGGAACCAAAATACATGGTGATCATCAACTGCTGTGGCTGGGTTCAATTAGATCGTGCTCGAGTAGATAGTCGATTTCTTTATTGGGGTAGTTTTCTTTTGTAGGATTAAGACGGTATGGGTGCTGTTTTATAGGTACTGCATCGCCTACATCCACATCATGTACAATAAGGTGACTTCGGGAAGGCACATCAGGAAATAACTCGAGATGTTGGTTGAGGAGATTTTCTATATCAGCTTTCTGTGTTGGATTAAGATGAGTGAGTTTGGAAGGAATATTCTTCAAGATTTCAGAGTTGCTCAGCTTACTCGCAGTGTCAGTTAAAGATGGAATTTCTTCCTCAGATACATTACTTACTACACTTGCTACATTCTCTTTCCTTTCTCTTTTTCTATCGAAATAAGGCTTTAACATATTTACATGGCATAGTTGATTTTTCTTACGCCTATCTGGAGTTATGATGACATAATTCAAATCACTCACTTTCTTCTCAATAACATACGGACCATAATATCTAGCCTGAAGAGGTGTTCCTGGTATGTTCAGTAACGCAAGTACTTTGTCGCCAACCATGAAATTCCGCGTAATTGAATTTTTATCGTATTTTTCTTTCATGCAATTTTGAGCTGATTCAAGGTTTGTTCGAGCAATTTCGCATGCAGTGGTCAACTTATTTCGGAAATCTGAAACATAAGTTAATAAATTCGTTGGACTATTTTCCTCAGTTAAGAGTTTCTCCTTGAGAAGTTTGAGTGGTCCTCTAACCGTGTTTCCAAAAACAAGTTCAAATGGGGTGAAACCTAACGATTCTTGGACAGAATCACGAGCCGCAAACAGAAGGAAATGAACACCTTCATCCCAATCTTTTTCTTTATCTTGGCAATACATGCGAATCATATTTTTAAGTGTTTGATGAAAACGTTCTAACGCTCCTTGACTTTCCGGATGATAGGCACTATATTTGAATTGCGTTATATTTAATTCATGCATAACTTGTTGGAATAAGCCAGACTTGAAATTTGAGCCTTGATCTGACTGAATTGATTTTAGAAGTCCAACAAGCGTAAAAAATTTGGTCAAAGCTTTTACAATAGTTTTAGCTCGAATATTTCGCAAGGGAATCGCTTCTGGAAATCTAGTTGAAGCGCACATAATAGTTAATAGATATTCGTTTCCCTTTTTAGTTTTTGGTAGTGGTCCTACGCAATCAATGAGAACTCGACTAAACGGTTCTTCAAATGCTGGAATTGGTTGTAGAGGTGCTTTTGGAATAGTTTGATTTGGTTTACCCACTACTTGACAGACATTGCAAGTCTTAGAAAACTCTGCAACATCCTTCCTTAGTCTTGGCCAATAAAAATGTGTAATGATTTTATTATAAGTCTTATTAATCCCTAAATGTCATGAAAGTGGGGTTTCATGCGCTAGACTTAGAATATCATGATGATATGCTAGAGGTGCAACTATCTGATATCGATACGCTTATTCATCGTTTACCGAAGTGTGTGGTGGTTGCCATTTCCTCATTAATACACCATTCCTTATATAATAACAAACGGGATCGCTTTTGACATCTGCTTCTTCCGAAGCCTTGTGATAAAGTGTTGAAATGTTGGGGTCATTTTGTTGTTTTTTAATAAGATCTGACTTAGATATACTGCCTTGCTCTATGAAGCTAAATTTCGAAGGTTTTTGGTTTTCAAAAATATCGTGAAGAAACGTGTTTTCTATTTGCATGTTATTAGTTTCCGTGTTTTTAAGACTTTCGTCTTGTCGTTTTTTTAAAGCTCTTATTATTGCACATGAAGGATATAAATCAGGGATTACTTGCTCAGTGAGGTTGGATTGTTATGTGAAAACTGGTTTGTTGCTTAAAACGGGACCTGCTTGTACCTTTTCTCCTGCCAAATCGTTGCCTAGTAATAGATGAATTCCAGAAAAGGGCAAGGTGTCGATAACACCTATCACAACATCACCTTTTATAAGATCAGATTGCAATTTAATATTGTGTAAGGGGATTGATTCGTATTCAGTGGAACTTATGACACGAATTAACACATTCCTTCCTGAGTATGACTGTTCGGAAAATGGCAAAGTATTGCCCAATATTACTGATTGTGAAGCTCCTGTATCTCGGAGTATTTTAATTGGAACATAAACTGGTTGACGGTTGGAGATGATTGTGACATTACCATCATGAATAAAAGGTTTAAAAGTTTCTATATCACTGTCACTGAAATCTTTGTGCTTGGTTGTTGTGATATTATGGTGTAGTGTTTCATGCGGTAATCCTTTGTTCGGATTCTCCTGTGCATTTTTACGAGTGGTTTTGTGTAGAGATTTATTTTTGTTGTTTATATTTTAATCGGATCTTGAAAGAATTCCCGTCGGTCTTGGTGGTCTGTTCGATTTCAACAAATAACATTCAGATTTTGTGTGCCCTTTTCGTTTGCAATAATGGCAAATTACTTGTCGAAATGGGGAATTACCTGGTGAATATTGCTTTCCTTGGTATTGCATGCTTTTGAAATTTTGTTTTGTTTGACTTCCGTTGCCTTGTAAGTTTTGTCTGCCTTGTGCGTAATTGTTCGGAAACCGCGATGAAAATCGTGACGAATGTGTTTGTTTTCCATCAAGTGTGTTTTGAGTGTTTGTTTGTGAAAACGGATGTGGGTTAGTTTTAACTGCAAATTTATGAGTAAGCGAAAAATTATCAGCGAGACGGGCCGCTTCACTAAGTGTCTTAGGATTTTGCTCGTTAAAGAAAATTCGCGTTTCAGAGTGGATACAATTTTTGAATTCTTCCATTAAAATTAACTGCTGTAAAGTTTTAAAATCTTGAACTTTTTCCAATGCTAACCATCGATCGAAAAGTTGAGCTTTTTGTTCGGCAAATTCTAAGTGAGTAATATATATATTTTTGCTATTAGCACGAAATTTTTGTCTGTAGGCTTCAGGGACCAACATTAATGAGACCATTTATGTAACCTTTCGAATAGAGAAACGAGAAACGATTTCTTCTTCGTTACATGCTATTAACCAAGTGATTATTTCCACACTTGAAAACTTCGTCGAAATAGTCAAGAAGTCTAAGGGCATCCAACCGTCGCTGTGTCGCACAGACACGTGCGATTTAACAATAAACATTTGTGGTTGATATTTGGGCAAAAAAGTCAAGCACTGTACACTTTGTTGTTTTTCTAAAAAACATGTTAGTAAAATGCATTGATTTCACACAAAAGTGATGATAAAAATATACAATTGCCATTCCTCTAAAAAGCTAAAAGTGCATTTCTGAAGCATCGAAAAATTAAAATTTTTCTGGGGAGTCTTAGTACCCTTTTACAAGATGAACCCCTCAAGCGTTCCATAACTGATGCAATCTGATTGAACACTGCTGCTGCAATAAAAGATACAAGGTTTTTTCAACTCGTAAACCTGAAACCTAAAATTGATCTCGTTTATAACATAAATTACAAAGATCCTAAATAAGCTTTTGCAATTACTAATCAAGTTGCGACTTTATACTTTATGCTTAGTAGTAAAGTCTGCAGTACTACTATTAATGGTCTTAATGTAAAACTAAGCTATGACTCTGCATAAATTAATATATAAATTTATGCTTTTTTTAAGTTAGTTGTTTAATTAACAATAATCCGTCCTTGAGCTTTTTATACAAATTGTAAATTTGGTTTCTTTTTTAGAGATTAACGCTGTTCGACGCGTACGCCATGTCAGAAATGTGTAAAGCTGGTTTCTACGTAGCTGACGTGTTTCCACTAAGTGCATCATATTTACCTGGACCATTTGATTCTTCTCATTACAATAACAGTGTGTTTGAGTCGTTGGGAAGAGATTTAGAGCTTTTTTTGATTGCTGGTTTGGATTATCGACCAAGAAGGGTGTGCATTGAATAAGACTTGCTCACAAGTACAGACAATCAAACGTATTTTTCTTACATTTATACATGTTCTATCTTACAACTTAAACTAGTGCTTATTAAAATGTATCAATTGATACCGTGCAAGTGCACATATCTTTTTGATTAATACAAAATAACCAGTGCAAAAAGAGTAGTTTCTTAAATATTCAAAACGCAAACATTTTTGTGTTAAAAATATAATGATTGCATTATGATTTTGTAAGAGCAAAATAGTCATAAAACATTTAAATTACATGACAAATTTCTTAAGAACAAAAATATTTCGGCATACTTTATGCCATCTTAAGTGCGAAGTGAATCAGTATAGGAAGTTTACATGATAATATATATAGTAATAAAGAGGAAGTATTGAATAGTTATCTATAATTATTTACAATTGAGTAGTATGGCGCGCCAAGATGGACAATATTACCAAAATTGAAAATATTTATAACGAAACACATTATCGTATGTCGAAAATAATACACTGGCAACTCTTTCAATATTTCTAAAACGAAACGCAAAAATATAAAAGAAAACAAAAATTCGTTTACCATAATTTATATATACACAACGAAATTTATTTTTCAAGTTATGAAAATTATTTTTATAACACGAAACTCATTTATATAAAACGAAATTGACATTCATAAAACGATATTTTCTTCGAACAAACGACATTTTTTACCGCGCCCTGCCACCGACATCAAAGAAAAAACGGCGTTTTGACTTTTTTCCTCCTCCATAATTTACACTTGGGTTGAACAGTGGAGACGTGTGGTGCATTGAAGTATTAGCTGCTGTAGTCGCTGCTCCTGCGACTGTAGTGGTTGTGGATGAACGACCATTTGCAGAAGGGAACAGAGTGCGTATCGTACTTTCAATATTGCTAGCGTTAGCATCGTTATCTCCTTCAAAAGTTCTTTCACAATTGTTGGAGCAATCACTTTCAGAGAGCTGAGTGATTGCTGCAACAAGGTTTGTCAAATTATGTAAGTTCCTTCGCGAAGACATCCTCAAAATTTTGTAGTGTATGGCTCTTTGCAGGCTACAAAATAATGGCCGCAAAAAAACGGTAAAAAATGTTGTTTGTTCGAAGAAAATGTCGTTTTATGAATGTCAATTTCGTTTTATATAAATGAGTTTTGTTTTATAAAAATAACTTTCATAACTTGAAAAATAAATTTCGTTGTGTATATATAAATTATGGTAAACGAATTTTGTTCTTTATATTTTGCGTTTCGTTTTACAAATATTGAAAAAGTTGCCAGTATATTATTTTCGACATACGATAATGTGTTTCGTTATAAACATTTTCGATTTTGGTAATATTGTCCATCTTGGCGCGCCATAGAGTCGAGTGTTATAAAATGTTTGTGTTAGGCTTTATAACAGAAAAGAAAAAACTTCAAAGAAAATGGATAATAAATTATAAAGTAATAAATGCTATTTACCAGTCGAAGACAACGTTAAAATGTTGCATTTGTTTGTTGAGGTTAGGTTTAAGTTTCTTGATGTAAGGGTCTTCTTTGAGTTTAAGATGGAAAGGAGTGTGAGCGAGTGGTCTCCCACCTTTCCACACACATTAAAGAAAATAGAACCACGGACTCACACATATTCAGACATAAGATGCCAGGAATACAAGGGTAATACATTATTCATTAGGTTAAATTTTAAAAAGGACTAGCTTTGACTAATACTGAAGTAAAACATTTTTTTTAACAGACAGTAACAATTAAAATTACTTAGGCCATACAATAGAAAGACTGAGCATGCAAAATAATGACAGCTTTAGACATATATTTTACATAATACACTAAATACAAATAAACGGATTGATCATATATTTCAGGCCAAGATGTCAAACGTAAATAAAAATATAAATTAATACCCCAATACATGTAAATTCTTACCTAACAGGGACATTGGGTCCTGATCTTTCAATCTGGCTTTCAGGGAGCAGCAGTTTTGAAAATGAACAAGTTCGTAGCATAATATCGCCAGTAGAATTTATACGACGAAGCCTTTCATTGTTGATTATTTTAACACAGTGTTGTCTCAAGTTAGACAATTCACCAGAAATAATTTCGCGAGCGTTCTCTTGCTGAAAGATTTGGACGAGCTTTTCAAAAACATCGATCTTTTTAGAAGTTTCCGTTGATCCTAATAGCTGAGTAGAACAAGAAGTAGTGTTTTTTCAAGTCGACAAGAATCGAGCTATTGCATATAACTTGTATTTATTGCGCGATCAAAATACATTCACTGTGGCTCACCGTGGCGCACATGACCAAAACGTTCCCTGTGATTGGCTTGCAACGCTGCACCGTGGCTGAAGGTTACTATATTAACAAATATTGCGAAATTTTTTGAACGCTAACCGTGGAATTTCATTCTGAGATTGCAGGTTCGAATTTATGATTATATTCCACATATTCCGAGCATATTCATGGCGTATTGGGCAAGATTCGAGACGCTTTCGTTGATTTTACAGTTCAGAGTTTAACTGGATGATAATACTATTTTAACAAGAAATTTAATTTGAAGTTTTTGTTCTGTTAACACAAATTTTTGATAAAAAATTACAATATTCATTCAATTTTTGCTTTTGACCGAATTTTGCTGTATTTGAGCAAAATTTTTAATCATGAAAAAGTCAACCCTATAAAAACTTAAGTGGCAGAATTCTGACCGTGGCTCAGGCAACTTTCGCCATGGCCTAGATCCGCCCCTGGAAACATGTTTGCTCTAAAGAAATTTGTTTGAATTGTGCATTGAAAATAAACGAAAAATTTTTTTTATTGTTATAAACAAGTCTTGACTAACATTAAGTCATCAGCACATAACGTGCAGCCTTGTCAAACTTTGTCACGGAGCTCTTAAAAATGTCAGTTAGTTTCCAGACTTCCGAAGTTAATCGGAGGCGCAGTTTTAAACCGGAAACAAGGTAAATGAATGGGACTTGTCGCTGGATAACACAGTTAATCAGAAAGACGTCAAAGTTGAAAGATGCATGCTATTGGTGAAGTAACTTTATAGTTCAATTTCCTTTTTTCATTTTAAGGTAAAACAACCGATAAATAACGAGGTAAAAGACCTTTTCAAGGTTAGCGCAGTCATATTGTAGGGGGTTCAAAAAATATTGGGCCGAGCGCACTATCACCCATTGCGTCCATATAAATTACTAATAAATGGGCAAAAATTACCCTTATACACACTGGGCATTTCTTTTAAAAATATTTCTAAACAAGTCGATTTTAATATTCAAATTATTATTTGCGATTTTTATACGTTCGAGTCCAATTTTGTGGTTGTCAAATAGTGGAAAATTTAAGAAAGTATTTGTTTTCATTCAACAACGTGACCGTCATGACTGTTTTAAGTTCGCAAATATACGGAACTCATAAGCCAAGTCAAACGAGTTAACAGGTAAACTACCCGAGTAGCCGTAAGCAAAGGTAAATAATGCACGTTGTGCAGTTGGATAGAGATTAATGGTAAACTATATACTGATTACCAAGTTAAGAGGTCCACGTAGAAAAGTTAGTTTTTCATGCAAGTGGCCCAAAGACCAAGCCCTTGATGAAATTTGGCGAAAACAACTTGCAAACAACAGAGCCGATAATGTTAAAGTGCCTATATTATGAATTTTAGCCCCCCCCCCCTTTTTTATGAGCTTAATTGAAAATTTGGATTAATTGAAGAACTATGACATGTCGTTGGACTTAAACAGATAAATATAAATTCTTTAATTTTGCCTCCAAAGTCGGGTACTATTTGCAAAAATTTTACGACGCCATATTGATACTTGTGACGTAGATAGTTGAACAAGTCTGTTTCCATCAATAAAATATTATATTATAGGAGGTGAGTTTGTTGTCGTTTTTCTAGTCTTAAAAACAAATAATGACAGAATTTTCAATAAAGTATTAAAAAACAAGTTTTCCGGAAAGTATGGCCTCAAATCAGTGCTCAGATAATTCGAATTCGATGTCTGAATGCGTATCTAATTTGAGCTCGGAATCCGTTGGTTATGTCAAGCATTTAAACGACTTCACATATGACGATGAACCACTCGCAGGAGATGGTGATGAAGTGCATACACCAGATGATCCGGATGGAATTCTCCCTGCGACATTACAACAACGAAGTGATGGCATAATTCCACTCAGTGAATGGTAAGTTGTTATTTTCTCCTGTTTGTAATATACATAAAGTTACTTTTTAAACCACAATGCTCCCACGTTGGAGGTGTAATTGCCAATGCTCTCATACCGATTTGTTAGAAGGCGCATTAGAGTACAGATGCTGTAAGGAAATAGGACCAGCATTGCAGAAAATGACATTTGATGGCAGCATTGAGAAAATATCATGCATAACACAGCATGCCAAATTTGGGCCTTTAGTTCATGAAGCTGTCCTTGAAAACGTCGGGCCACAATTAAGAGATAGTAATGGACGTGCTTATCGCCGCCAAGAATCACAATCATTAAATATGTAAGATTGTATATTGTATGAGAAACAATGTTATCATCAACATTGTTTCATCAACAATAATTAGTCCAACCTTTTTATTTACTTCAGGTACTTGAGAGCTGTGGCATACAGATGTTTGATGCGATGGTTTTGTGGGTCTATGGGATGGGAGAATACTCAGCCTTTACCTGCTTGTGTTTACCACTTTATTCGGAAAGCATATCCAAGTGGTAACACAAAAGGTTACATACCATCAGAGGGGCGATGATGGAATAGTCTTTTAACTTGTGTACTGCAGAGACTGTTGACCTTCTTTGCTGAGTTTAGAATGGTCAGGAAATATGCCTAGATGAAACCAAATAGGAGATACATGGATGCACTATATAATTTGACATGTGGTTTAATGGTTTGAAACAAGAGAACACAATAAAAACAAACTGGTGCAACTACTGAGAGGTTAAGCTGAAAGAATTAAATGAAAGAAAATCTTTTCTTCAATGTCAGTCTGGGAAAAAAGACAAAAGGAAAAATATATGGAATTAAATCATAGCACAAATGTAAAAATGGAAAATAGCAAGCCGCATGAACTTATCTTATAAGGCCTTCGCACTTGAGTGCACTGCATCATCAAAGGGCATGTTGAGCATTAAACTACAATAAAAAAATTATTCATAAA